ATTGGGGGGGGCGGGGGGGAGGGGGCTCTGAAGGCCCAAGGAAGCCTCGGGGGCCACAGTGAGCCCTGGACCTGGCAGATTCTGGCTCCAACTCTGTATGACTTTGCAAACCCCTGGACCTCACCTGGACAGGTGCTTGGCACAGCCCCTGATGGAGGTAGGCCCTTCAGATGCAGCAGTTTCTCCTGTCGCCCGTGCTGTCTTCCTCATCCTGCTCAGGGCTGCATCTTGCTTCCTTAGCATTCGCTAGGACAGCGGTTCTCAACCTGTGGGTTGAGACCCATTTGGGGGTCGAATGACCCTTTCACAGGGGTTGCCTAAGACCATCGGAAAACACATATATAATTACATATTGTTTTTGTGATGAATCACTATGCTTTAATTATGTTCAGTTTGTAACAATGAAAATACATCCTGCATATTAGATATTTACATGACGATTCATAACAGTAGCAGAATTACAGTTATAAAGTAACAACGAAAATAATTTTATGGTTGGGGGTCACCACAACATGAGGAACTGTATTAAAAGGTCGCGGCATTAGGAAGGTTGAGAACCACTGCGCTAGAAGCATAGTCGTTGTTTAACCTGCCAGGAAATACCGTATTGGCTGGTTCTGAAAGAGCAGCTGGGACTTCATAGGCGGCTCTCAGTGGAATTCTGCTCACGGGAGTAGGAGGCCTCCGTGCTCCATGTTCCCCAGGACCGAGAAACGGAGGTATCCGCAGGCTGGAGCAGTTCTTTCTCTGAAGGCTGGTGGCTAATTGTAATAACTCTTATGCTTGTAAAGATTTTTTTTTCTGTCCCATATCTCACTTGCCTCCCTAACTGCCCCGTGAGAGAAATGCCCACTGGTCCTTGAACACATCTTGGTTCGTTCCTACCTCAGAACCTTTGCACTTGCTGCCTGGGATCCCTCCTTCAGAACTGTGCCCACTGCCTCTTTCTCATCCAGGTCTCAGCTCAGATGTCACCTCCTCTGGAGGCTTTCCTTGGCCTTAGGAATTCACCCGATTTGGATTAAACTCTCTCTCACTGGCTCTATGAACTTGTGTGAGTCACTTAGCCTCTCAGGACCTCAGCTGCCTTGTCTGTGAAATGAGAATAATGAAACAGAAACCACCTTCCTGAATGGAGATGTGTATGCAAGGCCTGACCCATAGGAGCTGGTCAATAGGTGGGAGTATTTTTCTTCTTGCCTCCTTCCCAGGCGTCGATGGAGCGTGAGTTCAGAGCATTGAGAGGGCCGTCATTAAGTGAAATCACACAAAAATATCTGACTTTTACAAATTTACAAAATCCCACGACCACATGAAACACACTGTTCGGGCCTCCAGGACTTTGGGAGGAGCCTCCACCATGAGGAGGGGCTGGAGCTCCATGAAACCCCTGGTCTCACCACTTCTGCCCCTGCTGCTCTCACTGCG